TTGTAATCGTACTATATTTATCTACTTATATTTTTGGGGCAAATTCTATGTGGCAACTTTTATGTCAAAATCTTTATTTGATCGTGCAATAGCGGAGCTCCAATTACCAATATAGAAGAGAATAATTATCTAGTACTACTATTGAAAGGATAGCCTCAGGAGAGGTGAGGTGTACTGTTTCAAGGTAAACACAGCGTCATGGTTTTATTGTCATGCAGAAATATGTTACAAACTTATCTATTATATTCAGCAAAAAATGAAAGGTTATACTAAAGAAAGAGTAAGCTTAATATGAGTAAGAATTCTGTATTCTTAATTAAATGTATTGACTTTGGTAGGTTTTGTTCAGGATGGACGAACTTATTGTAATCTGTAACCTTAAATGTGGCATGTGCTAAAACATGGACTGGACTTTGGACTTTGGACTTTGGACTTTGGACTTTGGACTTTGGACTTTGGACTTTGGACTTTGGACTTATAAAAAAGAAACAAAAAGAAACAAAGAAACCAAAATTACAGACAAAATTTTACACATAACCTGATGTTCAGTTTTGCCTGATAAAATCCTAATGTGGTTCAGAGTTAGGATAAACTGGCCGGCAGGATTGAGTATTTTTTTTTGCCAACGTTCATTTTTAAAACAACAACGGTCGTACCCTGGATTGTACAGAGAGTTCAAATCCACCGCCGATAAGACTTAACCAGTGTATAGAATTCGTATCTATAGATTCCATCCGCTCGATAACGATTTATCCGTTGTATAGCGCTAGTCACCCTTCGTAAACCGGCTTTGTTCGTTTCTGCGACTAACTTGTCAMGCAAAGCTTGACCTTTCGAGCCATACCTCTTCAGCGGTGTTTATCATCATCATCAGTTCGCGTACTAATTCAAAGATTTTAAAATTCAAGCATATTTTGTTGCCAGATTTGTCGAGAACCTTTATTTATTATATACATACTGAGATTTTCTCACATATATTTCTATTTGAAAATCCATTTCAAAATATTGACTAGCCAATCATAGGAGCGAAACGAATTTCTCACACGTGCGGAAAGCGTTTCGTCCAATCAGGAAAGACTTGTGAAAACGTACCACGGAATTCAATCAACAACTTCAAGCTTCTTTATGTAGAGACAAAGCATTTTAGAGAGTGAATTGACAACTAATATTTTCAGGAGAAAAACAAAAATTCAACAGCTAAAACGGCGAGTGATGAAAAGCTACTCGATGAATTTCCGCCGAGAGAAAAAAAGGTCTTAAGCAAAGAAATCCAATTCCAAGAGACCGAAAGCAAATAGCTGAACGAATACATATCTGACATGTCTGCGACTTCATTATGATTGTGAAGCCTAAAGACACTGAAAGTTTCTGTACCAGCAGGTCCTTAAGATATATTTTCAAATTTTAATCGACATCTAAAAGAATTAATGCAAATATTCCACCAGTATATTTCCTAAGACCACAGCGAAAACTCACTCAGTTCCAGCACAACTTCGATGTTTGAAACTGAAACCCGCGCTTGTCAAGTCAACCACCGTCGCCAACATTAGAACTGTTTAAAGAAGCTGTATTTTATATGGCAAATTTCTCAGTATTAGATATAAGTCCTAGATGTGCTTCATCTTCAACAGAAGTATAGAAAACAGAACACTATTATATGGATAAAACGCGTCCATAAAAGTTGATTCACGACGACGGCGATAGAAAGTAACCAGTTTCATTGATTAAGGTTTGTAGGCTTGTTGCACTTTCCTCTAATGTAGCTTTTCGTTATTTTTATCATATTCAGTGAATGAAAATTAACTATAAACTAAGTTATTGATGTGATTTATTTATAATTATCCAATTCAGCATTTAAATTGTATCGTAGTTTGATCGCAAATAACTTCAAGCGAGTTTGTAAGACAAAACCGCAAAAGTCGCTCAAGTAGACGCTATAAAATCTCAGTATGTATATAATAAACAAACTTCATCATGGAAAGTGCTTTTGTACGGGATCTTCGCACTCGTTGGTTTAGAATCTAAAATCTCACTCCGGTTCGCTACGCTCCGCCACTCGTTCGATTTTAGATTGATCACCAACTCGTGCGAAAATCCCGTACGTCAGCACTTTCCATGAAGAAATCTATATTTTCACAATTAGTAACAAAAAGGAAATGTGAAAAGCTTTAAACATGGAATGACTCGAACATGTTGCCAAATGATACTTTTGCGGGAGAGAGCGCCCACCGCCTGTTACCGGTAAATGCCATCAAAGATGAGGGAATGTCACTACGCCTTGATTTACATGTGCTTTGCAGATATATGATTACTTACATTCATTCAAAAGCCAAAATAAATGTATGTTTACGAATAAATGTACGGTTTATGAAGGGTGACTAGCACTATACAACGGATAAATCGTTATCGAGCGGATGGAATCTATACGAATTCTATACACTGGTTAAGTCTTATCGGCGGTGGATTTGAACTCTCTGTACAATCCAGAGTACGACCTTTGTTGTTTTTTTTTTATCTTAACTCTGAACCACATTAGGATTTTATCAGGCAAAACTGAATATCAGGTAATGTGTAAAATTTTGTCTGTAATTTTGGTTTCTTTGTTTCTTTTTGTTTCTATCTGTATTCCCTCCTATTTTTGCGAATCATTTCCAATGTTTAGTTTTCTAGATTTCCCTATATACTTATAAGTCCAAAGTCCAAAGTCCAAAGTCCAAAGTCCAAAGTCCATGCTTTTAGCACACGCCGCCAAAAGTAGCCAGTAGCCATTTGAGGTCAATACTTACCTACTACCGCAATGCCATCCGTCGCAGCATATAATGTCGCCGTAACATTCTGAGGAAGAACACGGTTCGGGATCATTCTCATACATCCTCTTGGCCTTCAAGACCCTCATCAAAAGTCGATGGAGATTTGAGTCACTAGCTCTTGGTGCTGACTCATTCCTTTTGATAAGAAAAGTGTGGATCAAAATGAATGCATGAAAGATAGAAGAGATGTGGATTTATAAATATGTTAAGTTAGCAACTATTACGATTGAATGTACTTACAAGGACACAGCCAGCATCACAATCACAAATAATAGAAGAAGCTTCTTTGACATCATCTTGTCCGTTAAAGAATCTAAAATTAAGAATAACAGAATATCTATGACAATACTATTTATTTTAGTAGAGCTAAAAAGGTATTCATTATGCCAGAAATTCCCCGATGTAAGATTATTATCGTAGCCAGCAGAGCGTCTTTCAGTGTCCAAGATGCACCTTTATCTAATCTAGCAAAGTAATTACGTATTTACGTTTTAATTACGTAATTAAGTTTGTTCAATTTTAAATTTTTGGATACAAGTAGTTCTAGTTATATCATGTAAAAGCAAAAGGGAAGATGTTCCTTTGCTGGCACTTTAGGTAACAAGATGATATTCAAAAGCACAAATATATATATATTATTACACGTGTCTGCTTTTCTGGTAGTTATTCCTGACTTATTTGACTCATACCTTGGATTGTAAACAAAATATCCCGCACTCGATCAAGTTCAGCAGCAAGTATGGCGCTTCACTGTTTACTCATCACTTGATACATAGGGGAACCTCAATTAGTAATGCWTAGACATCTTTGACAACTCCAATCAATTGGAGTGAAACGAAAAGGGTGCGTATTGTTATTAGCTCTGCAGGAATATCAAATGATGTGGAACCTTTCAGAAATGTTGTTATTTACTACAGAGGAAAACACAGTAATATCATTCAATGTTTGCATAATTGCGACTTCACTTCATCACCGTCTAGTGATTGTCACGATATGATGTTTTTGTCTACATTTCCCTTTCTGTCAGATRTATTGTCTTTTTTCAGTGCTTCCCCAGYAACGTATTTCTTTTGAGCAGATCAAATCGCAAAATAGGAGCTAAAAGATAGAAAAAATACAAGTTTATAGTCGAATATCACTAAAGACCTATTATGATTTTCATAAGTGGAGATCAATGAAGAGACTTCTGTGCATGCCAGCGTGAAGGCTCAGACTACACTTGACCAACCTCAGGAGATATGGTTAACAACATGAAATACACCATAATTTCACTGACTTATTACTGGAATCATGAAGGATAATTTTGGTTTTATAAGATAAGATGGCACAGTGCATAGTGCTATTTTGCATCAGAATACTAGGCAAAGTAAACGACAGCAAAATACAGGATTATGATAATCGGTGGTTCCTTCACTTGAGCAACTTCAGGACATGATTTATGTTAAAATATGTAATACAGCACAACTTCACCGACTTATTGTTCTAAGTAAATAGTGCATATATATTATTGTGTTTTATTTCCTCCATCCTGTGCACTCCTAATTTCATAAAATGACGAAAGAAGTGTCATATAATGCTGCGCAGCTGAGATCTTTACTGACGTGATCAAATTGCTATCATAGTATCACATATGAACTTTCTCTTCTACCATTAGCTCAGCTTGTATATGAACTTGCCCTTCTACCATTAGTTCAACTTGTATCACATATAAACTTGCTCTTCTACCATTAGTTCAGCTTGTATCACGTATGAACTTGCTCTTCTACCATTAGTTCAGCTTGTATCACATATGAACTTGCTTTTCTACCATTAGTTCAGCTTGTATCACATATGAACTTGCTCATCTACCATTAGTTCAGCTTGTTTGGAAAAATAATTGCGGTTTGTACGCTCAGTGAAGATCACTAGAAACGTAAAGCGGTTGATAATTATTCATCGATCAATAGGGGCAAGGTCCAATAAGGTTACACAGGCTAAACCTTAATTCGGTTCTTCGACTCAACAACACAAAATACTAACACTGGAAGCTGCAAAACAGAGATATCGCGCGCGGATACGAATGTGGTATAAAAGTTGTAATGATCCTTTGAAAAAACATAGAATTTGCCATAACCAAATTAACACTGGGAAGGAGGAAAATTTTAGTTTGCCAACAGTGGCGAATCCAGAACAGGGGGGGGGGTGATACAAGTAAACAAAATGAATAGATTTAGGGCTGCTTTACTTGTTTTTCAGAAAGTCCCATTAACTTCAAATTTCTTCTTTTATTTAATTAATTCACAATTTCACTGAGTCTCTATATTTTTAAACACTAAAATAGGGGTTTGGCTAGTCACCCTGATCAACCCAGATCCATCCTTGACTAGTTATTAACGGCTTATTGATGTCTAACATCAATTTCTTTTCTTTCGGGTATCATTCGCAAATTTTGAAAACATTTGTGAGAAAAGAAGCATTTGGTAAGGAGCAAAACAATAAACGTGTGAAACAGTACAGGGCACTGCTTTGTTGAGATAAAAAGTGAAATGCAAAAACCAAAAAAAATCGTCAAAGAGTGCATAATAGCGGCTTTGCTTCACTGGTGCTTTTCAAGATGTGTTGTTTTTACCCACATTTCCATAACGCGGCAAAAGCAAAATAGCAACCACCATTATTATGGTTCTACTGATAGACTGTATCCTAACACCTAGTGCGTTTTTAGCAAGGAATAGAGTTTATAAGATGAAAAGCAGCTATTTCTCATGTTCTGAAAAACTGACCACGTAAAACTGTATCTCAGATATTTTACAGATATAAAGCGGTGCGCGTGTCTCTGTCCTCCGATATAAACACGGTTAGAGTTGAAAAACACGAGAGAAGCAAGCTTGTGAGAAACACGAGCGTAGCGATATTGAACACTGATATAAACACGGTCGTCGGTCGTATATCAAAACTTTTACGTTCCTCAGTCTATAGCAAGGTTTTTCTTTCCTTTTTGCTACTGTTTCTTATCGTAGTGTATGTTCATGAAGGTGCTTTAGACTTTTAGCGATGACTTCCAATCTATCTAACAGTACACCCCTGATCTAACAAGATCATTACTCGAGAAGGATGTCGTGTGACTTCCATATATGGTTGTCTGTGTTCTGTTAGACTACGTCTCCCTGACATTTAGTTAATACAATGTTAATAAGTTAACAGTAGATCTCTGTTTTARGTGATTCATCAGCAGTTTTATAGTTTGGTCTAGAAATTGAAATATGTCAAGTCATGTACTCTTGTGTTCCAACGGTACACTGCATACGCATGTGAAAATTATGTGAAGAAGAATTTAGAAARTTTTCAATGAACCTTCTATAGGGACATGACATGAGAGCTAGCCTTTCTATATATAGATCTAAGTCATGTGTATGTATCCATTTATGCTGGGAAGTCGTATGACAGACTCTACTCAACAAGATGTCTGCATTGCAAACGTGTAAAGTACTGTAATGTTACAGAGCTGCAATCTTTGCACGATCGGAATGGACGCATAGTATGACATATTAGATGTTATCTTCTGAATTTGTGGAACACTSAAATTCATGATCAATTTCATTTTATTTCACCGAAAAACTTTCAGTTCAGCTTGGCTGCACGACATTGTTCGTTGGAGGTGAGTTAGTGCACACTGAACATGYAGCGAAAGATKATAATGCCAAACCATCATAGGTTTTAATGCCACGACACCTTAATTTGGCATTTCAATGAATGTTTGTGAAATGTATGCATACATAATAAATTTTTAGCATATATACACTCAATAGAAACGTCTGGGAAGAGGGCTAAATCGGACGCGAATGTTGGAAACATTGAACGACACGTAAACAAACATCATTTAATTATCATTTATCAAATAGATGGTTGAGAAGAGGAATATTTATTTAAGGTCWCTATGCTTGTGCTTTGACTTCATTCTATGATCAGCTTATTTCGAAACTGAATTTCATTCCGGTTTTAAGATTTTGAGCATCTTCCCCTGAAAGAATTAAAARGTACAGGTCATCATGATAGTAGGTTAACTTTACTATGACATRCCTATTTTAGTTGAAGCCTCTTTTACGTGGGCAAATTCTCTATGGCAATGTTTAATATTTCATAAGGTGATGAAAATTGACCATTATGCACTGGAAAAAATCGCGCGCTTATAAGGTTGTAAATTTGATGTAAATATGATGTAAGTGTCCAAAATGTAAATTTGATGTAAATGATTTCCAGAATTTTGAACACTTACATCATATTTGCATCAAATTTACAACCWTTAAAGCGCGCGATTTTTTCCATTGATGTGAAACAGGTGTATTTGCAGAAACGTTTATTAACAACTTTTGATAGACTTAGAAGATAATGTCGYTGTCTTGTTTTTCTAGAGTCGGTCACATTGCACCCAATGCTTACCCCTTACATGTGTATCCTCCACAGCAGTCACCGCTACCCCTGCAACCTCTAAAGTCGCAGTCTAGGTCATTCTCATAATACCTCTTGGCTTTCAAGATCCTCAAAAGTCGAGCAAGATCTACATTTGAACCCTTAACCCTTGGTACTGACTCACTCCTAAAAAGACGAAGATGGATTATTGTCGAAAGCAATAATTGAGAGATTGAATAGGTGAGTGAACTTACAGAGACACCGTCAGCATCACAATCACAAATAAAATAAGAAGCTTCTTAGACATCATCTTCAGCTAAAGAATCTAAAGTTAAAAACAACAGAATATTAGCTATATCATACATATTCATGACCAATTGTCAGCTTTGAAGCCAGTTTAGTGTATATTAAAAGTATTTTAAAAGTATGACATAGCATTGTTGTAATCGCGCACTTTTAATCTAGAAGAGTACTTACATAAGGACTGCGCAATATTCATACCCCCCTGTGAATTTATTTAATTTTTTATTGATTATTCATTAATAAAGAGGGTTGTCTCAAATTGTGGCACGATTTTCTTGAGAAGTTTTCCAYTTCAATAAGTATTTGGCCAAAAAGCACAGAATCTGACATCATTGCTTTTTCAGTTTCCAATTAAAGTTCTAGTTAATTTAAGACGTTGCCCCCCTCTTTAAGCACATAAAATTAGAATTTCCACTCCCTCTGGATTCTCAACCCCACGTCTCCTGATAAATATTGCGCAGTCCGTTGTGGTGCCATCGCAGGGACCCTCGCGCAAATAATTGCTTAACGATAGCAGGTACAATCTAAATTGAAGAGTTTAATGTGCTTTTGCTAACATTGTAAATCACAACTTCATGTTTACAAGCGTAATAAAGTACAATTAAGAAAATCTCAAATGTTTCTGACATACCTTGATTGTTCACAAAATAATCCCAGTGTGTGCGTTCCTTTGTTGACCAAGCCAAGCAGCTAATATRGCGCGCACTGTTTTCTCATCAGTATAAAGGGAAATCTAAATTATTAATGCACCGCCAGTGATTAAGTACAACATCACTAAAATCAATTGTAGTGGAACGAAAAGGGGTGGATCGATATGGATCAGGGTTAAGYGCATTATAGAACATTGTTATAATTACTGCACGAAAATCATTAGACCTTTCCTTAAAATAACCACAGCTAATTAGCATAAATATTCTTTTTCAATTTGAACGAAATTAAACCTTAAATATTGAATAATATGCTTTACATAGAAGCTGTGTAAAAAACTGGTAAATTTGACAAAAAAAACCGTTATGATTTTGATATTATACATCAACTCATGATATGCATTTCTAATATATATATCTCTACTCATTTTCAATGAAATTTGTTAGTTATTTATTTTACACAGCGCTAGCTTCCAGTTGCGTTGAGCATGTTGTTCATTTTCTTAGCGGTTTTTTGTCTTTTGGTAGCCATTCACTGAGAAGGTCTACTGGAGTGGAAAGATGGAGATTAGACAGGAATCAAAGTAAAATCTTTCAGAAATTTCAAAAGTAACAGGTTGATGTCTTTTATAAAAATGCAGGGGCCGCGGAGACCACTATTTGCTTCCAAAAAATTAATAATAAATGAAATCGGTAAGATTAAAATAAAAAATCCAAAATTCGATGATCAGAGCTCGACTATACTGTAACGGCATCAAGTTGGAAACGTTAAAGAGTCAACTTCGCATGCCTCCGGACCCCCCTATAAAAATCGCGCCTTTGGCGCTCACCGGTCCCCCCACACATATTTGACCGCTCCGCGGTCATTGAAACGCGCATTATTTATCTTATCATCCGAGAAGAACCCAGCGAAGATAAACGACTGATACTTTTACATACTAATTGMTGCCATTATGGGGTTCAAACAAACTAGTAATGTAATCTTAGAAGAGTGAAGAACCCCTTGTATGTCTCCTTCGCTTCAATAAACATCACTARGTGATTTTAAGTGCTCTAATAAGTAAACTTGCGGGCAAAGATTTGAATTATAAARGAGTAAACGAGAAGTATTKTCATCATCTTTAATCTGAGATATAGGGATGCTCTAATGCTTTGCAGCTGCGACATTKTGATACTCTCTCGGCATGTAATCACAGTATTGCATTTTAGATATGATCTTATAAATATGTGGATCAGAAATTCACTTTCATTTTAAGTTTTCCACATAACYTCCATGTCAGCTTGGTTTACAAGACAGTGTACTTTGTACTTAGTGTACTTTGCGGATAGGGTAGTGCGCGGGAAACATGCAGCGATGCAGCAAATGATAATTATGCCCATTTATTTCATAGTTTCCGATATCATGAAAGTAGGTTAATAAACACTTATTTGGAGCTTAGAATATATCCTTTTGTTTTCTTTAATATCATAATTGTCCAAATCTCGCAGGATTAACAGTATTCAATAATATTACCTGGGATCAGCAGTAGAACAACGCTCTGCCGCGAATGCTGATATGACTTGTAACGAKCCCGCAAACATACATCGTTTCATTGTCATAATCAAATAGAAGCTGGGGAAGAGGACTATTGAAGCTCATTAGTGAACTCGTTATTTTACTAGTGACCTTAAAGAATAGAATCCTCCGCAGTCGTTTCTCTTGCTTTCTGCTCTTCTTTCTTTTCTGCGGGGCTTCCTGTCTCAATATGACCGAAGGAGACTGTGATCCGGAAGAGAGAGGCTCCCTTTTTGCATTCTGCCAAGAGGATGTCAGAGGGATCACACAAAAGGCAAAATCAAGTACTGCTCGAGGAAAGGAATACTCGAAGTCGTTCACATTAAACTGTCTATAACATCTTTTTCTTGTACTTCTAATTAATTCTATGCATGCTCAGCTGATGTTCAGACCTTACTTTTTTAAGTTTTTATAATTAACAAATTGCGCACGGTTTTGAGTTGTATGTTCTCTTAAATTGATGCACTTTTTACGTCATAAATGTTAGTTAATGTTCATATCAACTTTGCAGTGATGACTCCATTTGAGTTAAAAAAAAAAACATACGAAATTGTTTTTTACCAAATTTTAAATCTAAAATTAGCCTAAAAATCATTATTTTCTTACAAATGTTATTTGTTAATTTCATGTTCGGCAACAAGTTCCAGGGACAGTGGAGCATATTTTTCTTGGTTGATGTTGATTAAACGACCATAGAGACCCGAGAAGGCGGCTGAAGCAAGTAGGGTGACTTACAAATATTTATTGCTATACTCATGCACAATCAGGTCCTGCGTTTGGTAAATATTTTTTCCTTTTTGTCATTTTCTCGAAAAACAGAGGYTTCGACCTTTTGATCTTGAGTCTCACATCCAAAAGATTCGACAGTCCTCCTGTTTTTTTCTTAAAGCAGAAACTTGAAAAAAGCCACAACCTTGCATTATGAAAATCTGAAGGCCTCACAGATGCTATACAAAAGGCTTTCTTTGTGGTTTCATTTTCAAATACATATACTGACTCTTAATCAGTAACAATTGGAGTGCAGTAATTGGTAAAACTTTTGTGACCCCCCTTAAAATATCATAATAATGATAATGATAATAAAAATAAGGTACTCAAACTTTTTTCCCCCTCTCTGGTATCATTTTACCTCCCCATATCCTCCAACCATAAATAACAAGAACCACTTGGTGGAACATACCGTGTCCAGGCTACGCTAATCCCATCTGCCAAGGACCTCGGTGTCATAATTGATAAACACCTAATCTACAACGAACATATTACAAAAACCGCATCTAACTGCTTCTACAGGCTCACCAAGATAAATAGAGTTAAACACCTACTAGATACCAAGACACTAATCTTGACCATCTCAACATTAGTCTTTTCAMAACTATTCTACTGTTCGACAATCTGGAGCAACACCACCAATGCTAACAAGAACAAGCTTCAACTTGTACAAAACTACGCAGCCAGAATTGTACTTGGAAATTTGACCATATAACAAAAGGCTTCCAGAAATTAAAGTGGCTGAATATCCGTGAAAAGCTTGAATTGAATGACTGTAATAATGATGCACAAGTGTGTCAACAAGAAAGCACCACCCTATCTAACAGAAAACTTTTAATATATATCTCATTTTTTATTTTTGCTTATACAGCCTTTTGCGAAAATTATGAGAATTGTCTAAATATCTAAATATCATAATATCCATATCCATATATTGTCCGGAACACGCGGGTTTGCTAGAATAATTCATTGTTGACATCGAGAAAATGTTCAGAACTACGGATAAGTCTGTCGCCAAAAAAAACTAAACTACAAAGACAAGGGACTAAGGGCATCACGCGGGATTACCCATCATGCACTTGATATTATGACATCTAGATATTTCAACAATTCTCATAATTTTTGCAAAAGGCTGTACATGTATTATATATACTTATATATTTACTTATTTAGAACATTGTTACTGAAAAGCCTTTTTAAGGAGTACCAATAAAGTTTGTATTGTATTGTATTGTAATACACCTATTTCAAAAAACGTTGTCGTCACCACGACACAGTCTTGAGCCTGCAAAGAATCTCGGGGTTTCCATGCGTAATTAATATACTCAAAATGCATTGTGGTTTGAATTCAATGCCGGCAATCACTACTAATATAATATTGCGGGCATGTCTCTCCTTCGCCACGAGAAATTTTCCTCGAAAAATATTCCACGTTTTCAAACTGGCAATGAGTTTCAAAGCTATATTCGCTACGAGACCGAGAATAATCCAGTTTCGAATTCTCTAATGCTCTTTGTCAACCTCATTTATGCGCAAAATACTCCTAATTGTGCTGAATAAAAGTGTGAGATTTCAAATCAATTCTATTGTCTCTCCATGTCTCTCTTTTCAAATTCCATGCGTATTCTCGGGCTGTCTATGAAACAAAAGAATAAGTTGCTTGGTTTTGAGACTAACACAGAACCACACTTATTATAAATCGGAGTATTTTTTAAAAATAACTAAAATTGAATATATATTTTTATATGGCAATCCCGAGATTCTTTGCAGGCTCAAAGACAGTGGACTGTGTCCTGGCGACGACAACATTTTTTRAAATAGTTGTATATACTGTATATACCAGCGCCGTGATCGATTTGAAAGATTTTGCGCATGACATTTTCACAATTGTTTTTGAATATTTTTAGCATTGCAGCCGAAAATTTAGCATTCAGATCGCATTCGCATTATCCTCAAAGAATTTATAAGATGAAACTTTGCTTTCCATAAAATGATTTTAGAAAAAATAGAGAGTATATATTTTAAAGTTAAAGAAAGAAAGAAAGAAAAAAAATCGCCAGTTCAACGCCGCTATTCAAGTATGATCTTGCGTGTAAAATATGTAAAACAAATATCTACAGGAAAAATAATAATAAGTATATTTTAGTGAAAAAAAGAAGGAAAGAAATAGAATCGCTTAGAAGTGATCGAGTCGAGAATCTAACCCGCGATCCTAAGTTCGACGCGCTATTCGAGTACGATAGTCTGTGAGAATCAAAATAACGGCTCGAAAATAATTGTAGAATGAATATCCACAGAAAAGAATTAACACGACTATAACAACTTTTCAGTTAAACAGAAAGAAAAAAGTGAGTCGATTAAAATCAAGTCCGTGATCCTATGTTCGACGCTATTCCGATAGTCTGTGTAAAATCAAAATAATGGCTCGAAAATAATTATTATTTAAAAAGAAAGAAGAAAAAAAGGTGCTCGAGTGCATGAGATTCGAGTATCATCTTGTGCTTTTACTTGGAATTCCTACTCTAATCGAATAACTATTAAATATAGCAAGTATACAGTCACTGACATGAGCTAGTAATAGACCTTCCCGGAATTCGCTTGGATGATCACAGAAGAATAGTTTCAAGTCGAGGCTGAAGTGATTCTTTTGTCTATCAAGGCCAGCATAAAACTGAAACCAATGATTCGTGTTCAATTCGGGAAAGGTTTATTCTTTCAGAGAATTTGGCATATAGTATAAAATGTTAGACTAATCTTCAAAGGAGCGAAAGCGGAAGTGTCACTCTTTTAAACCTGATAATTGTTGTGACACTTATAAAACCAGATTCGTTTCAAAGAATTCCATATTGTTTAGTGTCCATTTTGAGGTTGTTTTAAGCCAAAGAGGCGATTTTAATAATCAATTAATCGAAAAGTTTGACTCTATAGCAGATGATTAAAAATATTGCGCATGCCTCGCAACCACTCTTGATGTCACCAAACACTATTCGTACCCAGTGACCCAGGGAGTTTTGCACATCCTATTTGGCACAGGAAGCCCTAATGCCAATCTTCAAGATTAAATATCTCGGCCGATCTCGGCCCCGTTTTATCCGATCGCACTATAAAACCTCATTTTAATCCTTAGACTCCCATTTTAAGGGTTATAAGCACTTTGAGCATGCAATGATAGATAGCTCTGAATAATTGTCTGTAGATGTGAAAGAAGGTTGCTATCATTGCACGCTCAACAGTCGGCCTCACTTTCGATGCAAAGACTGKTAACCTTCATGRTGGCGGAACTATGAGTCTATACGAATAGTACTAATTACTGCTAAACAAAATTTTAACTACCACTAAAACTAATACGTTTCAGCACAAAGTACTGCAAAAAATATATATATTTTAATTTGCAGAAAACGAGAATGTCCTCTGGATAACTGCTCCCTTACTTCACAGCAAGTAAGAAAAGTCTTGATGAAAGGGGTCGCTGCTTTGTTTGACAACTGAACAGCCTCTTTTGTATTCTTTTTGTTGTTTGTTATGTTTCTAAATGCTACTTTAACAAATCAAAAGAAAACATTCCTTTTGAAAAAAAAACAAACAAGAACACAATGTTTTGATAAAATTACGATATAGCTCTACATATCTGCATTTACTCTAATCTCAGTCTCAGRCTGCATTTACTCAGAAAAAAAAAAGAATAAGCCTTTTTTCATAAAAGGTTTAGATTTCCTTCGTTATTTCTTTTAATTATATTCTGCTCTTTCGTTTGTTGTGAAATAAAAGCTCAGTCACTCGCTTGGAGGTAGTTTTAGTAGTTTTTGTGCGGTTTGAGTGACAAGATTTTGATACATGAATCCCTACAGGTATTTCAGGATTTGGCAACGGAAAGACGAATTCTTTCATTCAAGATAAAATGTCCGAACCACTGTGACTGGAATGGTGAGCTTAGAGATATCAAGGTACTATAAAGTACATCTATAGTGAAACACAAGTAATCATCAACGAGTGCAACAAGTTATACATCGACTCGATAATAAACATTATAACGTATTGGGCGTTGGCCCTTCGACGAGCTCTTGAGCTTACTTTCTATTCCGACCGACTAATTATGAACATAAAAAATCTACGACAGATTTATTTTCACCTAATCTTAACCAAAACGAAGGACCAACGCCCGATACGTTATAATGTTTATTATCGTTATCGATGTATAACTGGTCACTCGTTGATGATAAAAGGAACGTTGTCGGGTTAAAAAATGGCCACCGGTTATCTTGTGAATCTCATGGAAATGGTTGAAAACGATCAATATTTAACAATTATTCGCCGAAGGCGAAGTGATTATCAATGAATATTTACCGAGCGGCGATTCCCACTGAGCCTGAGGTGAATAATTGTTTTAGTATAATTTCATAAGTGAATATTCATAAAAATAGAGAAAAAAGAACTACTGCATTTTCGTAAAATGTTATGTGGCGGGGATTGAAGATGGCGGTCGAGGGCCGCTCGGATTGACAGCAAAGTCGTCTTCTTGTAATAATTRCCATCTTTCTTCCTTATGGACACGTAAAACTTTGATAGACACTTGTTTAATTCACTTGTATCCATGTCTTCAAAGCTGACAGTAAATTCACACTGTTGTTGAAACCATTCTGTCAAAAAATGTATCGATTAAAATGTAAACAAAACAGGCGAAAACCTACAAATTTCAGCCTGTTTGACGTAAAACGATAGATAAAAAAGTAGTTTTAGACAATGTTTTTATTATTAAATAAACAAAATTTAAACTTACCTGTAAAAAGGTTTAATCCAATTTTTTTTAATCCAATTGTTTAATCCAACGACACGCGGACGACGCCATTTTGCGAAAAAATCCCAATATTCACCTATAGGTGAACATCGCTCATTGAAGCGTCAAATTCGACCAATCAGCGCGCTAGAATTATGATATTCACTTATGAAATTATACTAAAATGATATATGCTGTTTTCGAGTTCTATATAGAGAGACACGGCGGTCTTGTGCTCTAAACTGTTGTATTAMAAAAATCGATATTGCTGACTTGGTTAGCCTAAGTCCAGTCTCTTGTTTTCAATAAAAAATAAAATAATCTGGAAAAAAAATATGAAAGATTTGTAATATTCTTGATCAAAATATATCTATTATATTGTGCACTATGCAGACCCACGATGAGAAATGCCTTCTGGCAACTGGAACCTGCTGTTATGCAAATTGGGGATGCAAGTTCAAGGTACTCGAAATATCATGCATCATTTGAATTTGTCGTAGCCTGCGTGCAGCCGAACCAAAACTTGTTGTTATGTTGGTTCGGCTGCACGCAGGCTAAATTTGTCGTAATAAATCTTATTTTGTTTTATTGTCATTTCAAGGGACCTAGAAAATCTTTGATCGAACATTATAAAGACAAACTGTTAGAGCACCTTGAACTTACGTCAAATCAACTCTCGAAGTGTTAAGATGAAAATTCAAAACAAGTGGCTGAACTTAAAACAGAGATCAGGAGACTTCAAGAGGAAAGCAAGAAACAAGTGGCGGAATTCAAAACAAAGCTCACGGCACTTAAAGACGAAAACAAGAATCTTGAGAAAGAAGTGACRGAACTGAAATCGTCCAACGTCACACTGATGAACAAAGACGATCAGTCATGTTATAGTTACACGTGGAAAATCAAGGATTTCAGCAAACAACTAGAGCTTGCAAAGAAAGGTCGTGATATCAGACTGACTAGTGAATCATTCTACACTCACAAGTATGGATACAAACTGAAGCTAAGGTTATATCCTAATGGACAGGGCAATGGCAAGGGTACACATGTATCGGTATATATGGCTATAATGCGTGGTGAATACGATGCCATATTGAATTGGCCATTTACCCCTAAATGGAAGTTTATTGTGCATGACCAGAAACCAAAMCACTCGATGCGTAAAAATATTAAACAGAGTTATAGTGATGAAAAAAGCCATGATGCCTACCAAAAACCAACAGCTAATGAAAACGCAGGAATAGGGAAAACAACCTTTGTATCTCATGATAAATTAAAAACTGAGAACTACGTCGTCGATGGAGTAGTTTTCATCACTTTCGAATTAGAGAATCCACAAATCTGAAATGACGTCAAGAATTCAACATTAGACAAATGCATACCCTCCATACTTACTATGCGGGGACGGTTAACGCCAAATAGGGTATGTGTTTTTGCCTTCGTTTCTTGAAGTCTTGAATAGGGTATACAATTGATCAAAATCAAAAATCAACTGCCTGTTCTGGGACTAAACGTCAGGCAGTCGAAAAATCTCAAAGTACCGTGCTTATATATGTATACAAACTTGTCGAACAGTATTATTTCGGTCTTCATTGCATTTCCCTTGTTATACTAATTGAAATTACAGTTGTTCCGACGATTAAAAAAAAAAATAATAATAATAATAAAACTACAAGAATCATTTTTTTTTATTTAAAAATCAATCGAATATTGTGAATTAGTGAATTAGCTATATCAATAGACTATTCATATAGTAACCATAGGCTTGGCAGACTTTAGTTTTACCTTTTTGCCAATCTATGTATCTGTCGCGAACATTTTCTATTTCCAAGTCAAGTGTGAATAATTCTACATGAAATATAAAATTAGCATGCTTATGACAATATATAATCTTCCTCTTACTATCGATTCGTATGTGGTACCAGTGTGATCTCGTTCAAATGCATCTTCCTATCTGATCTACATGCTAGATTCCAATCTTGTCCCCAGAGACTATTTCTACTTTACGCATGCGCGACKTGGATTATTAATACGCCTCTCGACCAATCAGGGATTTACAGTTGTAAAAAAAGTGAAAGTGACTAGCTTAAGATTTATTTCTCGTGCTTTTAACCTATCTCTATACACGAAATCCATTATTATTTCTTGTTTCGCCTTTTTATGGCTCACATTGCCTGAAGGAAGACAAAACAACAGCAATATTAGACAACCGAGCCTGAACACAATGATAGATTAACACTCATATATTCAATAATTTTATTGCTAATTTTTTTCATTTTATTGGTCTAGAGTCGTCATATGTAGCGGACCTGAAATCTTTCGTAAATGAAAATGTCATGTCAAATGTAAACTTACCCATTTGAACAAATCCAATCATCACAGCAGYCACCTTGACCATCACATATTGTTGGGCCGCAGTCGTCATCGTCATACTGCTTCCTGGCTTTCAAAAGCCTCAAGAGTCGATCGAGGCTCGAGTTCTTAACTCTTGGCGCTGATTCATTCCTTTTGATATAAAAAAATAAGATGGAATCGGAAAGACTAAATGAATGTTTCATCATCTCTACTACTAATCATTGTTCATTTGACCAGCGCGATAATGTCACAATGCAAATATTGTGTGATCGACGCGTTAGGATTTGTGATGTATTTGAGCTTTGATCTATATCGCTTGAGACTTGAAATATCTGTAGCCCTTCATACTATCTTATGCTTGGCGAGCTACAACGAAATAGCTATCCATGTCTGCTTCGCATCATATGCGAGTGCTGTTCGTTATCGTTCTCAGTCCTTTTTTCAGTTCAATTGCCGCTGATTTCTACATTTACGGTAACGTAACAAATAGAATAGAGATAGGCGCGACGTTTCGGTGTATTCTTGACACCATTACCAAGCAAAATGAAAAACTGAGAAAATATAAATGTAAACAAAGAAAATACGATTGYAGCAAAACAAAGATTTTGCCCTTAGAGAAAAGTCCGTCTGCACTTGAGGCCGATCGAAGGTCTAAAATTCCGGATGCATAACATCTTATACAAGACATTCGAGTTTTGATTTGCATCTTTTTATAGCAATGAATTTTTTGTTTATGTTGGTCGGCGGATCAATGTCATGTTCCATTCTGTAATATTTTCCGATACTACGTAGAGAATTATATTTACTTCATTTTGTTCACAGTCCATTAGCATACTCAGTCCATTTATTTTACTTCATCTTGACTGAAAATATGAAAGATTCAACAGAAACTCAATTTTTTCAAATTTTAGGATAATCTATCTTATTAAAATAGAAACTTGCCGCAAAATCATTTTKAATTGGATAATTTCCGATATTTACCGCTATTTTAAACTTTCCGCCAAATCGGGAAAATGCGCTCTCTTTGAAATCGGGGTCCTGGTGCGAATGTGAGGGCTACTAAGGAATAGTCTCAAATTTCCGGAGCCTTTCGAAGTAAATCGTGGAGATTCGAAGGTATTCATTCCTGTTATAAACGACTTTGAATAAGACCTTTTGTGTTTCATGGAGGTTTTCCTCATCTTTGAAAAAAACTGAATTCAGTTGCACTTTAAAAGATCAGCGGAAGCTACGAACGCCTACTCTTTGCATCAGCAATAATACGATAGTGAACTTACAAAGACACGGCCAGCATCACAACCGCAAATACTAGAAGGAGTTTCTTTGACATCATAGTGAGTTATAGAATCTAAAATAAAATAACAATTTAAGGTAAAATAATTTTCGGTAAGTATAGATAGGTGGTCCAACCAGAACTGTGTGGATTGAATGAGAGAGCTGATGTGTTTTTTTTTTGAATCGGTGGATCGGACTGGAGCAACTGGAAAATTTGCACAGCTTTTCTTTCGGATTTTAAATCGCCATATTTGCTGATTCTAATACAGTTCGTAAATATTTCTGTGACACAAAAACGTATATAGCTATTTGCATGTTGCTTTCTAAATCGACTTGCATTTCCGTGAAGTTTGACATTTCAACACTGATGGTGACATTCATTAGTGTTGTAAAGAAAATGGACAGAAACTTCACAAGACAAATAACTATTCTAGACCTTTTACTAACAAATATACCATATATATATACCATAATTTAACATTACTAAAGCACTCAATGTGCCAAAAATGACTTGACTACCTACAGTAAGCATTGCAGCCAAGCACATAGTAATGTTAATGAAGTGCATTGCGSCGTAGCTACATCACTAAAAGCACTGATTACAACACTTCGATTGCTTACGCAATATTTCAATTATTAGTATAATTATTATCACTCCCAATGACATAATTATTAATATACATTGGTTGTTTAATAGCTGTTACTTGCTCACCTTTGATTGTTCACAAAACAACCCAGATTTCGTTGTCGATCAAGTTCAGCAGCTAGTATGGCGCACAATCTTTACTCATCAGTTTATGTAGAGGGGAAATTAGTAATGCGGAGAGATTTAGGACAACTGCACGAAAAATCCATTGAAGTGAAACGAAAAGGGTGGGTATTGTTTGAGAACTACATGAAGCTCAATTGATGTGGAAGAGGCTAGATGCTGAAAGTAACTCTTTCAGAATTTTTTTAAACAAAAGGGAAATGTCCTTGATGAAAATGGARGTCGTGTTTTATCACTTCTTAATCAGGGAACTGAGAACATGTGAGAAGAAYCTTGGGATAAAATTCCGAYACTTGTACTACTCACTATTGAACATGCCAMGACGGGTATACAATGAGCAACTCGGTGAGAGGCACCGTGCATGACTCYTCCTTCTGCTTCATTGAACGTCAYGAGATGATGTTCACCAACGTGGAAACGTAGCCTTTGCTTTGCTTCTTCTCAAGAACACTGTTGTTSTACTGATACCGATTCAAGATGAAGCAACTTGGATGTGGCACTGCTTGTTCATCAGTGATGCAAAAATGCAAATAMAAAATAGAGCTCTGGTGCTTCKCAATGTTAATTTGTTTAAAGAAGAYAAACTGTCTTTTTWAGAAGCATCGTACAAGTTTTTGATAGTATGCAAATTCAAGATATTCTATTCTAAATAGGTAATCAGTGCAGTGTTTTTACTGGTACCATATCAGAGCTATTATATTGCATATTGCAGTATGCATGTTTGAGCCTTTAGGGGTAGCTCAATCAGTTATGGAGAACTGCACAAAAATCAATTGGAGCATAACAAAGGGTGGATGTAAACGAAGGTCAAGTGCATTTTAAGACATTAATTATTGACAATTGAACGAATTGATAGAGGGTAGATTTGACAGAATATAAGGAATTTCCAAAAGGAAAAGGTAAATCGTGTCTCATGCCTTCGAGTGAATACAGTAAAGTGCTTAGAACTAAGAGTGACTGCTTACCGCAGAAGAAAACGTCAAAGAAGGAGCTTAGAACTTCAAGCCTATAATCAAATCTCGTTTAAAACTTAATAAAAAAACCTAATTGTTTTTTTAACAATGAAGATCAGATAGCCATGCATGCATCCGTTAAGGCTCCTTCACTTGACCAACATCACCGTTGATCAGAAGATGTACGTTCTAAATGTAAACTTATCTTTAATCCCAATTTTACAAACGCATTATGAAAATTATGGAGKATAATCTTCTTTTCATAAGACTCTCTACTGCATAATTGAGGTTTTCGCGTCACTCTTAAGGGGATTCTAAGTACAAAGAAATTCCAATCATAATTGTTTGAAATTGCCCACCATGTCATTAGATTTCGTGAGGGAAATCTTATGCAACTGTAAAACGTTTAGGTGTATAATGGGCCAATTGGCTCCTGGGCCGCCAATAGCGTTTCCCAAAACGTTATAGTAGGTCAGCTTGTTACTGGTTCTTCAATGCAAACACCCTAAGAGAAGCTACAGCAGATACATACAGCGTGCTATAGCGCAAACAACTAACCTGTTAGACTCAAAAAGCTTCATTTGTGGGTGAGGAAATATTTTTGCTCTAAATTAAGATTAAACTGCATATCCCATGAAATGCAAAGGGTGTATTGGAACAAAACTCTATCATTTTCTTCCAAAGTAGAGCAAATCATCAGTCCACGGAACAGTGCACGCATAATAATGCTTTCGCTTCATTGATTGTCACGAAATTATGTTTATTATCACTATATTCGCCAGTTATAAAAACTGTTCTAATATTATCTCAGTTTCTGCTTCGAAATAAAGCATGATGCCACATTTCAAGTCGTTTGAAAATGCAAAAACTGTTTTCATAAACCGACATTTTAAGTCAGGAGTTTCTTTGAACAGAAGTGATCTAAAATCATCGTGTTTTGCTATTGCCTAAGGAATATAAAAGGGATTTCCGTGTTTGATACTCTGATCAAAACATGAGGGCTCTGTAGGAAGCATAGGAAACCACGACGCCAAGCGATTTTTTCAATCATAGCTGTGTTCTTATGCAACTATTTTCTTGAATATTGCGGCAACACAGCAAAATAAATGTACACTTACTTCAGCAGCTCAAAAAAATTAACCCTGAGTTCGCTAAACCGCGACTTTGGGAAAAAATAAATGAAGTCGATGCAATTTCAAGACCTTTGCCGCAGCCTTCAGCCTGGACACTGTAATGAATCGTGCATTTTTCTCTGATATTGTGTGTTTAATACGTTGTTATACTATGTAATTTTTATTGCCACAAAAGAAAACAATGTAATTGGAGGATACTAAAAGGCGTCGCATTAGTGTAATATCTATTTCACGGGTTTTTAAGACTTCATTCTAATTGAGCTTACTCTATAACACACATTGCGTGTAGCTTAAAACACGTGAACAAAAAATTAAAAATATATATATAAAAAAACAATCTAACAGCGTTTTATGTACAATTTGYCTTATCGTACTAAATGTTTCACAGAAACGATTATTTGGATATATTTACACCAACAAGTCACAACAATCAGAAATAACGTATGCAMCATTAAGTGAAGATTCAATTCGTTACGTCCACAGCAATATTAGAATAAAACAAAGTGCTAAGCTGATGTGGCATGCAACATTTRAATTTTCTTCTCGTGATTTTTCACTTCACTCTGTACAATTGAAAAACATTTTTTCAAGCTTCACATCTGCGGTATTTCCTGAAAAGASAAAAGAAAATGATCACCAAATGTTATACAGAGTATTACAGAAAAATGTGTTGGACCGCACGTGGTGGCGGCCTCATTACAGTTCGATGAAATAATAGAACGAGAAATCAGTTAACTATGTGTTTTCTTGATTCAGCCGATTCCTAGTCTGAGTGCAGCCGAACCAATGCAAGGCTACCGATCCAAAGTCAGTAAGATTTGCCATGCTGTAATCAGGGGCGGATAGAAATTTTCCATACGGGGACCGGAACTTACTGATCTAAATATATTTTAAAAAACACTAACGATATTTTTCCGACGAGCGTGAACTTTTCAGGATCCTGATTCCMAATATTTCCCCTCCCCTGAGCCCGCCCCTGGTAATAATGTAAATCAAATCRATACTAACCCACTTGAACATGACCATCCATCACAGCAGTCATCATCTTCAGAACATTCTGTTGCGCCGCAGTCTTCWTCGTCATAATGCATCCTGGCTTTCAAGAGCCTCATAAGCCTTTCTGGCAATTTAACCCTTGGTGCGGACTCATTCCTTTTGATCGAATAACGAAATGAAAAAAGGTAAATGAAGGTTAAATCAAGCCTTGGRCTACCTGTGTAGGAGTTAGAGTCGAAAGATAACTGATTATGCAGATTTTTTGCGGGTAAATATTCCCAGTGGAATTTGGACKATTGACATTTGTAATCCAAAAATCTCTAAGACCTCTATACAAACTATTCGGTCGGCAATCATGCATATCTAGATGAAAAGCGGCAGATTACACATGGTCTAATTATTCATGATAAATAATTTTTAAGGGGATTTCGTTAGTTCCCTGATCAAAGAAATCAACCAATCAAACACGATCATAATTAGCCATGCATACTAATGCTAATTTATGCCAAATTGACAAAATGTCCGGAAAACAACAGGATTCTGCCCAATGGGCTTTGTTAATAACACTAATAAACTTCGAAAACCTATCTTCATCATAAAAATCCAGTACATTTCCACTTCCTTACTCAGGTTATCAGATCAAAATAGGTAAAATAATAATCAGTCTTGAGGAAGTTTGAGCTAARRAMYWRG